AATACTGCCAGAACACAGTGATCGTCTTCCGGATGTGATTGACACGTCGGTATGAAGAAAGTGAATTCTGCCCGCGGTATAATATTTCAGTTCTCCTCGCGTACACTCAGAGCAGCGGTATGGGCGGCAGCCAAAAATTCCGCATTTCTACGGGAAAATGGTCTGCGTTTCAGAGAGGATCTCTGTAAGGCCGACAGAGAAAGCAGGTTGAAGTTGTGGCCACTAGTAGATGAGGCACGGAAAGCAGGAAAAATTGCCTATTTTGTAGCTGGTCGTGCCTTCGTGGAGAAAAAGGAGATTTTTCCATCAGGCTGATTGATCCGTTTTTTTGTTTCCTCCTGTTTATATATGCGTGTACACACATATATGTGTATTCTTGGCTTCTTTTTTGACCAGGACTATATGTTCATGTTATGAGTCGATGGCCAAAAGTCATGTTTCGTCCGTTTATGGCCAAAGCAGTCATAGTTGATGTAGCGCTATGTTCTCACCACAGTTAGTAGCTGTCTTTAAGCTTCTGTTCTAAGGAACTTGTTCAAGTGACTTCTTTTTTTAATTATTATTTTATTCAAATCTTGTTATTTTGATGTCTTTATCAATAACTTCATTCAATGCCAGGGGACCAAGGAACAATTTAAAACAGAAAGCCATTTTTTTATTTGCCAAACAATATAAAACAGATTTTTGTTTTCTTCAAGAGACTCACAGCATCTCTGAGGATATGCCTTTTTGGAAATCCCAATGGGGAAATGACATTTTTTGTTCTCATGCTTCTCAACGGTCTGCGGGTGTTTGTACACTCAAAAACTTATGTGTTGGTAAACTTATTTACAGGACACAATAGATGAAACACAATCAGGCTTTCTAAAAAACAGGCACATTTCAAATAATATTTGGTTGGTTCTTGATCTGTTAGACTATTCAGAGTTAGTGAAGGACAGTGTTGGGAGTAACGCATTACAAAAGTAATAATATTACAGTAGTATATTACTTTTTGCTGTAACGCAGTAATATAACGCATTACTAATAAAATTTGCGTAATATTATTACTCGTTACAATCTCAGTAACGCAAGTTACAACAACATATTTTAACTCAAAATTAAGTGGTGAATTTACCAACACAGCAAAACAGCACCAGAGAAAAAATTCCGCGGGTAAAATAGTTTGTCTATCTTCTGTTGCTGGAATTAGATGGTTGAGATGACTGCAGAGACGGATTCTACATTTGTGAGATGGACACACTCCTGTTATTTTCAGTTCGTCGGAGAAAAGGATAAGAATGCATAGTCAGGTGCAATATGTGCGACACCAAACTCTCAACATGGAGAAATAGCACGAGTTATCGGAGAGAGCTGTGGGGTCGGAGAAGAGAAAAAAGGCGGCGGACGAGCGCAGGCGGATCCCAGCTAACAAAAAAAGGTCCCCAGGACGTCCTCCAAATGGCCTCTGCGAACGTCCCCCGGACGTCAGCGTGTAGGGTCCCCTTGACGTCGAGCGGACGTTCGCGAAGACGTCCTCCGAACGTTCACGGGGACGTTCACAGGACGGTCAGCGGCCATTCGGGACGTTTAGGGGACTTTCGCTTTAAGTCCTGGAATGTCATTTTATTTTACTTTTAGGCTAATCAAAGAAAATAGACACGTGCAAATAGTTGGAACATATATATTTTATTTAAACAATTTAAACGTTTTTTCCCCTTTTTTTATTAGATGTTAAGAAATAAAAGATATATACAACTATAACAAAACATCAGAATATAGTATATGTAAAGAGAATAAATGGGCTTGCAAGAAAAATAAAATGAATGTATAATTAAGCAAAAATAAAGAAGAATTACATCTAAAGATCAATGCTACAAAAACAACATACAGGTTCAATTTTAAATTACATATAACTCTTTAGCAAATTAAAAATGTGGGGGTTTTTTTCAGGGCGTGGGTGGGTCAAGCAAAGCAGCTGTGTCTGTGCGTTATTCCGATGGTAGCTCCTCTTCCCGTTGGATTCTAACCTAAAACAACGAAAGGAACACATTAATGTCATAAAACATATGTCTAAAATGTTTTCTTGCAATGAAACCACAGCAAAATTCTGCGTTAATACTGAAAAGCATCCACTCAAATCTTTTCTAACCTATTAATTTAATTTGTAAAGGTCATTATCAAGTAAAATAAAATGACATTCGAAGACTTAAAGCGAAAGTCCCCTAAACGTCCCGAATGACCGCTGACCGTCCTGTGAACGTCCCCGTGAACGTCCGGAGGACGTCAAGGGGACCCTACACGCTGACGTTCGGAGGACGTTCGCAAAAGGCCATTTAGGGGACGTTCTGGGGACCTTTATTTGTTAGCTGGGATATTGGCGTGAACAGTCACTCAAACCTTAAATTGGGAAAAATCTGTTAAAATTGTGTAGCCTAGCCTATGTGTAAATGCAAATGTCATTTTCGATGTCTGCACGTGAGCTCATTAAGCTTAATTTCCATAACGACTTTGTCACACACGCTTATACATCTTAAGCCTCATGAAAACCTACGAAAAATACCTTTTACCGTTGGCTGATTTTTTTTTTTTATGATCTTTGATGTTCTTATGCTTATTGTGTGCAGCGTAAAGACACTGAAGTGTATGTAACTTTTGGCATTCGATTACACGCGCATTTGCGCTTTTCATATGGCACAATAATGGGTGACATTAGCGTGAACACTCAAACCTTAAAGTGGGAAAATCTGTTAAAGTTGTGTAGCCTAGCCTATGTGTAAATGCAAACATCATTCTTGATGTCTGCACGTGAGCTCATTAAGATTAATTTCCATAACGACTTTGTCACACGCGCTTATATCTTAATGGCTTCCATAATATGGGGGAAAATACTATGGAAGTCAATGGGGTCCAGAAACTGTTTGATTACCAGCATTCTTCAAAATATCATATTTTGTGTTGAGCACAAGAAAGTAAATCATGGGTAATTCCATGCAAAAGTCAACTTTACCATAAAAAAAATAAAGTTTTTACCAAAAGGACAAAACCCTGTTTAAGTTGTGCATTTAGGTATGCATTAAATAAAAATCTATAATTTTGACCCATACAATGTATTTTTGGCTATTGCTACAAATATACCCCAGCGACTTAAGACGTTAAGTTTTGTGTTCCAGGGTCACATATTGTTGTATGTATCTGTCCTTCTATCGGTCTGTCTGTCCATCCATCACATTCTGTCTGAGATTAATAAATGTGCTTTTTTGGCTGACTGTTTATAACTTATAGAATTAAATTTCATAATACACTCACCTGATTAACTGTTTTTTCACGATCCGGGGCATGTTTTAGGGTGACAGCAATCATCTCTTCCACACTCTGGGATTTTTGGTGTGGGTATGACTTGCTGCAGGCACCTTGATCAAATACAGAGATCACCATTATTAAAATTAAAACTAGAAATTAGAATGACAAAGTTCTATTCTAAAAACATCAAACATTAATCTTATTTCTGATACGAATATATATATATATATTGAGAAGAACTTACAACTTTTTACATTTAAAAGGAGGAACAACATTTACAACCTACCAAATCTTATTTACAATCCAAATAATTTGAGATCTTGAAACAGACAAATTATTAGTCATTAGTGGCAAGTTTTGAAACTTACGTATGATGACATCATTGATAAGGAGCTGCTGAAATTTAAGTTTTCCCTTTCTCCCTTTGTAACTGTAATATCCCCATAAGGAATTATCTCCAATGTTTTTCAGCATCCTCCTAATTCCATCTCCCAAGCTGCATCCACTCTGAAGACCTTAGATAACGAATCTACAAACAACAACACAAGAGCAAAATGTTTTAAATTATTATAGGTTAAAAATCACTAATGTTGCTTGTGTTATGGCACATACCATCTTCTTTCGAAATTCAGCATCTTTCAGCTTATCACACAACTCCTCTAATTCCTCTACAGTCTTACATGGTTTCTCTAGCACCTCTGTAAGGTCAGAGACAGAGGTGCTTGGCTGGCTCATTGATTGCTGCATTGTTTCAACCGCTGATGTAATGTTGTTTTGGATTTGGTCCAGTTTCAACATGACTCTTCTTTCTAAATTCTCAAATAACTTGTAGATTTCTGTGCAGAATTTATTTTGAAACATAAATGACATTACAAACTACAGCAATAAAAAAATAACACTGCCATAAGACAACATAAGTCTGCCATAAGACAACATAATAATTGAATAATTATGATGAAATAGATTGTTACCATCTCGAATAGATTGTGGATTAATCACACTTCCTAAAACAAGTCACAAAAACATTTTGTCAGATAATGAATACATTATATGTGTGTGTGTGTGTGTGTGTGTTTTAGTGTACCTTGACTCTGCCAGTTGGCAGAAACTGACTGATGTGGCTGCAGCTGTGGTGTTGAAAGAGATGGAACTGTAATCACATTACAAGAAAAAATAATCATTAAATAAAAAAATTCATGACCTATTGTTAGTCCAACTGTCACACTCTTGAGCTGTACAGTGTTAAGCTGTACAGCCATAAAAACAATATTGTTTGCATGTTGTTTAAATCATGACATAATACCATTTAAAAACAATAATATTTTATGTAACATTAAAACACCTCATTGAAACAGGGTTTTGCATTTGTTTTTAATGAATAATTGATTAATTATGATGAAATTAAATAGTTACCATCTCGAAGAGATTGTGGATCAATCACACTTCCTAAAACAAGTCACAAAAACGTTTTATCAGGTAAATATCTGTATCCCACTGTATATATATATATATTAGTGTACCTTGACTCTGCCAGTTGGCAGAAACTGACTGATGTGGCTGCAGTTGTGGTGTTGAAAGAGATGGAACTGTAATCATATTACAAAAAAAAATAATCATTAAATAAAAAAATTCATGACCTATTGTTAGTCCAACTGTCACACTCTTGAGCTGTACAGCCATAAAAATATTTTTATTTTGTAGTAATCAACATTATAACACAAATATGGTAGACTGACTTTAACCTTGAATATTCCCTTAATTCCATTGAGATTTTACTCACACCAAGGTGCCGCAGGCAAAGTCACATTAGATCCTTTTTTTTTTACTGGTTGCTCCTCATCTAACAAAAAAATAAAAAAAATAAAAAAATATATATATATATATATATATATATCAGTACAATTTCAGACTATAGCAAACAAATGAAAGTGAATCATAGTGACTTTACCTTCATCAGGCTCCCCAGCTGAAAACAAAACAAAATATTAGCTGGGACTTTTTGACATTTCTTAAAAGAGTAGTTCACCCAAAAATGAAAATTCTGTCATCATCCTCACCCTCGAGTTGTTCCAACCCTGTATAAATATATTTGTTCTGCTGAACACAAAGGAAGATATTTTGAAGAATGTCTGTAACCCTTTGTGTTCAGCAGAACAAATATATTTATACAGGGTTGGAACAACTCGAGGGTGAGGATGATGATCATTTTTGGGTGAACTATCCCTTTAATGTTATGGCCTTCATGAATCATTTTTGCACAACATAGAAAGACGATTCCATTTTAGATTATCATCAACAGTTGATTACTTTTTGTTAACTTACTACTTACACTTAGATGCAATTGCTGTTGATCTTGGCCGTTTGTTTATTTTCTTTACTCTCAAACTGGAAATCTCATCTTCAGGGCCAAACGCAGCAGGGCAATAAATAGTATTTTATGTCAGTTAGAAAAATATGCTAGATGGTACTGTTCTGAATAATTTATTCCCACTGTTTAACCTTGCATTAAATAAAGAATACAGTGACATAATAATGATTTCACCTTGGGATGATTCACTGTCCTCAAGAACTGTAAAACAAAATTAGCATTTAAAGAAGATATAGATACAGACAACATAGACATATATATGCATTTTGGCTTTCCTTGATCATTCCAAATTCATTTGTTTTGCATGTATACTTACATTGTTTTGTCTGTGGTGTCTTTCTAGGTTTGGTGGGCTGAAGTTCTTCTTCTGCAAGAAACAAAAGTTACAACTGCAATTGTCTTTCAGTGTGAAAACTTTAACTTATTTACAGTGTCAGCACAGATTTTATACCTCTAAATCTTCTTGGTGGTATAATTTTTCGTGAACTATTTCCATCCGAGTCCTCAACATGGGAAGTTTCAACTGCTTTTTGGGCCCGATACCTTGCTAGGTTGTAACTGTCTGTTCTCAAAAATAGTACAAATTTAGTTTAATAAATCTTATATAAATAATTTATATTTTAGGAATGGTTGCTAGTAGTTGATGAGATTAAAAAATAATCTTGGTATTATACTTTACCTGTGTCAGAAAATACTCTGACGGCATATTTTGTCCAGAGATGTTTGTCTGGAATGGCACATTTTATGACTTTGGTCCCAACATTTGAATTGGGCCAATAGCAGAACAGTACCTTTCAGACAAAGACAAGGATGCTTGCTTAATGTTTTTTATTTATATAGTTGACTTTGATTAATGTATATCATTTATGTTTTATAAAAACATATATGGACTAAATCCTACCCCATCGACCCTTTCGAGCCACGAAGATGGTGCCACCTCAACCTCATTTTGCTCAATGAAACTGAGTATTACATAGCGAAGATAAACCTGTAAGTGAAGTTTAGATAAATCTGTAAGTTCAGCTTGCAATACATAAATGAAACGTACACAATTACCTATTAATAGGCAATCATTGGTTACTTTCTCTAACCTTATACTTAATTTGTTTACCAATGTTGGTTCTTGTTGTACTGGAAACATCTAGGTTTTCAAAAAAGAATGGCACTGGAGAGCAAATCACCAGAAGACAGAAGAAAGCTGTAGGAGGCAGAAACTCATGGGGCAAATCTTCAGAAGGCAGAGGCCAAGGTGTGAAGCTGTAGAAGGCAGAGATTCAGGGGACAAAGCTTCAGGAGGCGGAGACTCAGGGGTGAAGCTGAAGGATGTAGAGACTCAGGGAGCAAAGGAATACTTAAAGTATGTAATTTCACCCAAATTGTCATTCTCTTGTCATTTTATTATTTTATTGTTATTTTTGGTGATTTTATTTTTTATCACAACCTAGAAAGTATGAAGAATGGACACCACAATTTTGATCCTGTAGTTTTCCTCCACGATGAATGCCCTCCTCTGAAGGGACTTTCTTTCTAAGCAAAGCATTTGAGAATGTCTGATGTTAGCCATGTATGTTCCATAGAGGCGTGAATCACATGGTGTCGTCAGATATGGCTGTATATTTGTGTACACCCTGCATAACACTGTGTCGTCCGCTTGTTCTGACACCACCTCGCAAAATTGTTCAGGGCCTAACACAAAGGCATTGTTTGGGCACTTGAATGACATCAAGTTTTCTTTGATTTCTATCTTGGACTTGGATGTTTCCTCAAGACGATTTGCAACTTGTGCCAAAACATTTTTTCCAGATCGAACCGATTTTTTCATTTGATGAAGATAGCTCTCGAACTTGAAAGCACTGAAGCTGTCAAGGCTGCCAAAGTTTTGGGCATCTTCTGCAAGGTGCAGCAAGGAATGGACATTGTACACCAAAAATGTTTCGCCATACAGCTCCCGTGCTCTCTCTACAAAATACTTAAGCAGCTGGTTTGCATAAGATCCGTGTGACTTTGTGAGGTCAGGATTCACCAAAATGCAAAGAGCCGTGCTGAAGCTCAAGAAGTGTTCATAGAGATGGTCTTGGAGAATTCCCTTTAGAACAATCTTCCCCGTGTAGATAGCAAACTGTCTGAACTCTGTTGCTTTCCAGCGATCTATTTCCTGCAAGCCCCTTGGCTTCCTGGCAAAGCAATCTGGAATGGACTTCTTTAGTGTCTCCAGCCTGTCACTTACACGGGTCACATCTCCTGATGACATCCGGAAATCTGTTCTCCCTCTTGTCCACAAGAGCAGCAGCTTTTTCATTACCCCGAGACAGCTCTGGTGCATATAATCTATGGGGAAGGATTTGATCATGTCGATCGGCAGGACAGAGAAGGGTGAGATCTCCTCTTCTTGATGGTGTTCAGGTTGCCAGCATTCCCTGAATGATTGATCTGTTCTCATGGTCAGGTTATTTGTTTCGGGATATGTCATCCGACCATTCCAAGATCCCCTCTGGTCGCATTTATCGCACCCATAGTATCCAGAAAACTGCTTTACACACTTTACCATAGCTTTAGCTGGAGCATCGCAGGTAACACATCGTAGTTGGATGTTTAAGCGTCTCCCTCCCCAGGTAAGACCATCCTGGATTAGTTCTGCCAATTGCTGAACAGTGTCAGAGGCAAAGTTTGGTGTTTTGGGTTTGGAAGCAGCAGTGGATATGCACAGGGGGAAAATACATTCTGGAGACAAGTTTATGGAACAGAGAACTGGCCAGAGGGATACGTTTGAGCTTTTGAACATTGGCAGCCCATCAATGTTCAGGGAGAGATCAAGTGACTGCAGATGGTCTGTCACAGCTGCAGGATACCTGCTCAGATGTTTTGAGAGCTGATCTGCCACATTAAACTGTACACTCTCGACACCATATTTGGTAGTATGTTCATAATGGTTCGTGTGTCCAAAGAGCGTCCTTGCAGTATGGGGAAGGTCTTCATGCCCATGTCTTTTAAGGATGTTTAATAGAGCATCCACAGCATTATGTTTAACTTGAAACATACATGCCCATTCGGAAAGTTCTTCCCTGAGTGTGGTTGTAATATCTTGTTCGCTTTCAGAACTTAACAGGGCTGGATCTGAAAGTATGTTAAGATGATCTTCCTCAATGTGCTGGTTGTGATTAAGGCTGTCACTTTCAGCAATGCTGGCCTTCTCAATTGAACTGATAGTTTCTTTGTTGTCTGCCTTCTTTTGTGCCCTTGACACTCTAGCCCAGATTTTGTTGTACTGCCTCCTACGCTCTTTGGATGTCATCAAGCTACTGTACTGGTGTCTCTGCCAATAATTCAATAAATTAAATTTTTCAGTACACTTACAGATTTTATCTGTTTTTCTCAATTTACCAGTATCAACCATATAACTTAATTTGGTACTTAACTTACCTTTGTTGAGGACATATTTGCCAGAAGCATAAAGGCTGAGAAAACAGAAATAAACATAAGTCAATATACATACATACATACATATATATATATATATA